TTGATGTTGTTGTTGTTGTTGTTGGTCATGGTTGTGCTGTCGTTGCCGTTGTCGTTGCTGATGCCGTTGCTGTTGCTGTTTTGTTGTTGTTGTTGTTGTTGTTGCGGCCGTTGTTCTGGATATCCTTCGAGTAGTCTTAAAGTTAATAAAACTGAACTGCTACATAGTGAAGGTGTGCCTTGGTCCTTGGTGTTGCCGTCGTTTGTGTTGTTCTTGTTGCTGCTGGTGCTGCTGGTGCTCGTGGTGCTTGTGGTGCTGGTGCTGCTGGTAGTGGTTGTGTCGGTGATGGTTTTGGTGATGGTAGTGGGTTGCTTCTGGTGTTGGTGGTGATGGTGGTGTTGTTATCGTCGTTGGTCCACACTGTACATGGCAGTCAGATCGGTACCCGTGAGCAGCGCCTGCAATGTGACTTTGTCGAAATGGCTCGAGGCCGCTTGAATTACAGCGGTCGTCGTGTAGGTCGTTTGGGAGACGTGTAGGGCTTGCTGGCATCAAGCAGCTATTGGCACATGCCAAAAGTAGCTGCAGTTATTTTATCAAGAGGTGGCTCGTGGTACCTCCCTCTTGGGACATTTGCTTGACTGCTGGGCCTGCCGTTCGCTGCGCATTATGATGGACTTCTTCCAGATGGGGATGTTCAGCTGGACCGTCGCTGTAGCATGCCATGCGTTTCGACGAGTTCGGATGTAGTTTGCTGGGAACTTCAATGCCGAATGTAATGTAAAGTGTGCAGTGGGAGGCAAGATGCAACAAAAACGTGATGCCTGCAACACGTGCAGCTTGATGTCTGTGGGCATGCGACAGCCCCAAACGATGCCTTCGCCAAGGATGTGTCCCCAGCTAGTTGCACAGTCGACGTTGACATCTTGCATCATCTTGCCCTCTTTGGCATACGAGTCTTTGCCTCGCCAATGTAGGCGCTCTAAGTTGATCCTCATCATAGTCATCATCATCCCCACCAGGAGGAAACACAATGTCAAAACCGATATCAGCAGCCACTACGGCAATACTGTCTGCAATGGTGCTTCACTACCACAAAACTTCATAACCGTAACCCGTTGCGAACGCTTTGAGCAACGAGCGATACCTGCTGGTGGATGCTGCCATGAAGCTCGTGTCTCCTGAAACCTCATTTGACCCCCTCTTGCATGGCGGTTGTGGGTTCATCATCGCCTGTAGCCGTAGACTCATCATGAACATCACCTCACCGTGACGATGACGATCATAATCGCCGGAAAGCTTCATTGTAGCGATAGATGATGATTGTCGAGACTGTGCTGCAGAGACTGGCTTCTTCTCTCCAGGACCTGCTGCGAAAATGCTGGCAGAAACGCTTCCAACCGCGATTCGCCGGATGATTGGACCGTGCATCGCGCCCTTTGGCTACAGAATATGTCGCAAAAAGAGATTCTTGTGGGGACATAATCATATCGCCATGCAACGACTGAGTAGAATTCTTGGAGCTGCATGTTGACATTGTTCCGCATATGCAGCAGGGAAAGCAGGCGGCGCGAGGGGTTCAGAACACGGCAGCCTGCACCAAGTACATATCTTTCTGCCTTTTACTTTTTCAGTGGAAGAGATCAAAAATCGCCCGGTGTCGGATAAGAGCTCTTGAAGGAATAGGTTGTCCGGGAGACCGACGTGCCGGCAAATGTTGCGCTGTTCTACTCGTACTAGACTTCTCTTATTCTTATTCCCTTCTTATTTGATTATGCTTGTGGGATCATGCTCTAACCTTTTGCTTGTCCCAGGAAGATTCGACCTTGTCTGAGCACGGGGTTTGGCGGAGGAATTCCGTGCCCTGAGCTGCAGACGGATTTCATTCCAGAATAGCCAGAGCTTCGGGCAACTTAGAAGTTCTCCACCGGTGGTAGGGTTTGAAGGATTCGTGCGTTAGGCCGGTGCATACCGTTGCTGCTATTCATGCTATCATTCTGATTGCTATCCCGCTTAAGTCCCGGGTTGTGAGCCAGCATTGTGGCCGTTACTACACGTTGCTGGCCATGATAGCCTCTGCCGCAAACTGTGAGTTATCTTTCAGGATCCAAGTTGATGGGGCCTGCGAGGCATTCTCTTCGCCAGTACTCCCTAAACGAAAAGTTTGTAAATTTCAGTCTGGGCGTTCGGGTTCGAGACGATAATTAAATGGCCTTCCCTTTTCTGGAAGATGGAGCTTTCTCTAAATCCACGTCCGGTGGTGCACTAATCGTTGTTTGCCGGGCTTGCTGCCGTGGCCCAACGGCAAAATACAAACTAGGCACCGTTTCGTCGCGCTGACAGATAGCAACCCAGAGTTTCACAGACAGGACGTAGCCGCTTGAAGCTTCTGACGCTGGAACAGAGTCTACGTCGCATCAGCTCCAAACCGTCTCAGCCACGTGCAAGGCGAGGCACCTCTCTGCTGACAAACGGATTGTCTTCCAGAACAGGTGCCTGGATGGCTTTCTTTGATCGGGATCTAGCTGTAAGGGCTGCAAGTGTTTGAATTTCAATCTTTCCAGAACCGTCAGGGATCAGGCAAGTAGCGTTTTCTTAATTGCATGCCTTGAGGTGTGTTGTCCGCCGCATTCTTCTTGTAGACTTGGAGAACATTGTGCCCCGAGGTGAAAACGATGTTCTCCATGCAGACCTGTTTCGAAGAGTGACTCTTACAGTAACTTGCAGTACTCTGCTGGTTTTGGTAGCCTTGTGGCAGTTATCTGCTTGCGCCCTGAACTCCGGGCGGCCCACTGCTTGTTTAGATTTTGGACATAACCGGCTTATGAAAGAAGCATCCAAGGATGCAACCCCGACACATACCGCAGTGTGTAATTGAGACCCTTTTATGTCCAGACAACTTTCCGATGGACGCTCACAGTGACCCCCATCTCTGTAAGGTGAGCTACATCCCTTCTTGCATAAGGTGGTGGTCGATTTGTAGACTACAAAAGAGTGCCTGCGATCTGGCCCTAACCTCGCAGGGAGCCGACGATGGAGATACCGGCTGATGTACGCCTCCACGCAGCAGTGCTGGGCGTAGGAGTGGTGATCAATTTCTGATTTCTTACTGAATCACACTTTTACCTACAAGCAAAGCAGTTCGACTGCTATGCAGTCTGTGGGACAATGTTCTTGCGGAGTACTGCCTCAGCACTGTACCGGTATCCTCTTTGATTTTTGAGATGAAGTCGGTGCAGTCGTCGTCGTAAATTTGAGTATAGCGGCCCTTGGACATGACATGTGTGGAATACCTTCAATATTCCCAGGAGGTGGGTGATAATGGTGATGATGATGATGATGNNAAGATCAGGATGTTGAAGGTGGTACCGATGATGAAGATGGTGTAACCATTTTTTTACGATGCCAGACTCAGGCTTAGAGGCTCAATGGATCATGCCCGATGCTCACCCGAAGCATCACTACTTGTATTACTTGTATGTCGGGGTTTGGTGTTTATGTGGTTTTAGGTCTTGGACTATACTGTCGTGCAATCATACAGTGCCTTTACGTGAGAAGTTGGACTTTAGGTTCAAACACCCAGTCCTGAGAAGGGTTCTTTTAGGGTTTGGAGTGTCAGGTTTTTGTTCAAGGTCAGTTTATTTTGGATAGTCAGGAGTTGTAAAGGAATGTAATGCCAGCTTCCATAGAACAGCCGTTTCTGCTGCTTCCCAGCAACAGAGGCTCGGACTACACTGAAGCGGTGACTGAGCGTTTGATCAGCCTTACAGAGCCGCATGCTCAGCAGCCGCTTAAGTTTGCTCCGTGTTCTGTTCATGCTCTTGACCCCTAACCCCTGCGTGCACTCATGTTTGGATGTGTGAGAGAGAGAGAGAGAGAG